CGCTGTCTAATACCTGAATGTTTTCATTGTTTTAAAAATAAATCCTCACCCCCACTCCCCCCAAAAAAGAAATCCCATACCCACTAGTAGACAGTCACACCTATTTCCACTTCCTCCCTATCCCCCAGTCCTACCCCAGTAACTATAATCTTTCTATCTTTCTTTATGGATTTGCCTTTTCTGGGCATGTCACATACATGGAATCATATATTTGTCCTTTTATGTCTGACTTATTTCAGTTAGAACATTGTTTTTCAAGTTTCGTCCTTGTTGTAAGCATATAAGAACTTCATTCCTTTTTTACAGCTGAATAATATTCCATTATATGTATGTTCTGCATTTTGGTGATCCATTCATTGATAACCAAAAAATGGCAAAAAGTGCCTATTGTGAATAATGCTGCTGTGAACATTGGTATCCAAATATTTTCTTGAATACTGTTTTTAATTCTTAGGGTATGTATTTAGGAGTGTAATTGCTGGATCGTTTGGTATGTACATACCAATTTTTTAAGGCACCACCTAACTGTTTTCCACAGTGATTGCACCATTTTTCCTTCCCACCAAAAATGTACAGGGGTTTGAACTTTTCCTTATCTTCTCCAACATTTGTTAGTCTCCATTTTTTTTTTATTAATAGTCATCCCAGAAGTTTCAAAGTATTATCTCTTCGTAGTTTTGATTTGCATTTCCCTAATACGACTCCTGGTGTGGCATTGTGACCTAATGTGCTGGACTGCAAAGTCGTTTGAACCACAAGGTCGGTGGCTCAAGCTCACCAGCTGCTCTTTGGAAACCCTATACAGGATTGCTATGGATCAGAACCAACTCAATGGCACTTAACAACAATGATGGTTAATAGGCTCCTGGTGTGGAGCTATGGGATAAGGACTGGATTGTTAATGACAAGGTCAGTGGCTCAAACCCACCAACTGCTCCTTGAAAACCCTATACAGGGTTGCTATGAGTCAGAACCGACTCAATAACAACAATGGCTAATGATGTTGAGCATTTTTATGTGCAGTTGGCCATTTTAACAATCTACCTGGATAAATGCCTATTCCTTTGCCCCCTTAAATTGGATCGTTTGTATTTTTGTTGTTGAGTTGCAGAAGTTCTTAATGTATTCTGGATATTAAATCTTTATCAGCTAAATGGTTCTCAAATATTTTCTCCCCTGCTATAAATTGTCTCTTTAATTACTTGATAGTCTTTTGATGTATAAAAGTTTTCATTTTGATGAAGTCCAATTTACCTATTTTTCTTGTTGCTATTTGTGCTTTTGGTGTCATATCCAAGAATCCATTGTCAAAAACAAGGTTTTGAAGTTTTATCCGTATTTTTTTCTAAGGGTTTTATGCTTTTAGGTTTTCTATTTAGGTTATTGGCCCATTTTGAGTCAATTTTTGTTCATTTGTGTATGGAGATCTAGCTATCCCAGCACCATTTATTAGAGATACCATTCTTAACCCAATGAATGAACGTGGCACTTTTGTTGAAGATCAGTTGATATAAATGTATGGATTTATTTTTGAACTTCCAATTCTATTGCATCAGTCTGTATGTCTATCCTTATACATTGAAAACTGTGAGAGCTAGGACTTAATGGGATTGCCTTTTTTCCCTGTGGATTTTTCTGCCTTTGACAGAGTGCAGTCACTGCTTTTATTTTGCTCTCTACTTAGTGAGAGATGTTGCATTATTCTTTTCTGAGAGCTTTCCATCTTACATGGGTTCCAGTGACCACAGGTGTTACTCTATGAGTACCACACTGCTTAGGTTATTGTCGCTTTAAATTAGGTAGGATGAGTCCTCCTAATTTGTTCTTGTTTTTGAAGATTTTTTGGCTGTTTGGGTTCCCTGCAAATTCCATATGAATTTAAGGATTGATTTTTCCAATTCTTTGAAAAGGCTTTTGGAACTTTGATAAGGATTTTGTTGAATTTATAGATTGCTTTAGATAGTACTGATGTCTTAACAATATTAAGTCTCCCAATCCATGAACATAATGCCTTTTCATTTAGTTAGGTCTTAATTTCTTACAACAATATTTTATGACTTTTCAGTGTAAAAGTCTTTTACCTCCTTGGTTAAATTTATTCCTAGATATTTGATTGCTTTAGATGCTAATCTAAAAAGATTATTTTCTTAATTGCCTTTACAGACTATCCATTGCTGGTGTATATAAATCTGACAGATGTATTTTTTGTATTGGTCTTGTACCATGCTACTTTACTCATTAGCTCTAGTAGCTTCTATGTAGATTCTTGTTGTTGTTGTTAGGTGCCGTCAAATCAGTACTGACTCATAGCGACCTTATGCACAGCAGAACGAAACACTGTCTGATCCTGGACCAACCTCACTACTGTTGCTGTGCTTGAGTCCATTGATGCTGCCACTTGGCCAATCCATCTCTTTTTCTCTGGTCCTCCAACCTACCAAACATGATATCCTTCTTCAGCGACTGGTTCCTCCTGACAATATGTCTGAAGTATGAGAGACAAAATTTGGCCATCTTGGCCTCCAAGGAGCACTCTAGCTGCACTTCTTCTAAAACGGATCTATTGGTTCTTTTGGCAGCCCACTTTCAATATTTTCCTCCAACACCATAACTCAAAAGCATCAATTCTTCTATAGTCTTCTTTATTCACTGTCCAGCTTTCACATGCATATGAGGTTATTGAAAATACCAAGGCTTGGGTCAGGCGCACCTTAGTCCTCAAGCTGACGTCTTTGCTCTTCAACACCTTAAAAAGGTCTTGTGCAGCAGATTTGCCTAATGCAATATGTCATTTGATTTCTTGACTGCTGCTTCTGTGAATGTTGATATTTGATCCAAGAAAAATGAAATCCTTGACAACTTCAATCTTTTCTCCATTGATCAAAATGTTGTTTATTGGTCCATTGGTGAGGATTTTTGTTTTCTTGACATTGAGATGTAATCCATGCTGAAGGCTGTGCTCTTTGATCTTCATCAGTAAATGTTTTAAGTCCTCTTCACTTTCAGCAAGTCAGCTTTTATCATCTGTATATCGCAGGTTGTTAATGAGTCTTCCTCCAATCCTGATGTCACGTTTTTCTTCATAGAACCCAGCTTCTCGGATTATTTGCTCAGCATACAGGTTGAATAAGTACGGTGAAAGAATACAACCCTGTCTCACACCTTTCCCAATTTTAAAACATTCAGTGTTCCCATGTTCTGTTCGAACAACTGCTTCTTGGTGCAGGTACAGATTCCTCATGAGCACAATTAAGTGTTCCGGAATACTCATACTTCTCAACGTCATCCATAGCTTGTCATGATCCACACAATCGAAAGCCTATGCGTAATCAATAAAGCACAGGTCAACATCTTTCTGATATTCTCTGCTTTCAGCCAAGATCCATTGGACATCAGCAATGATATCCCTCATTCCACGGTTTCTTTTGAATCCGGCTTGAAATTATGGAAGTTCTCTGTCAATGTATGCTTGCAGCCATTTCTGTATTACCTTTAGTAAAACTTTAGTCGCATGGGATATCAAAGAGATTGTCCGATGATTTCTGCATTCTTTTGGGTCACCTCTCTTTGGAATGGGCACAAATGCGGAACTCTTCCAATCAGTTGGCCAGATAGTTGTCTTCCAGATTTCTTGGCAGAGATGAGCGGGTGCCTCCTGTGCCTCCTCACTTTCTTGAAAGATTTCACGTTGTATTCCATCAATTCCTGGTGGCTTGTTCTTTGCCAATTCCTTCAGTGCACCTTGGACTTCCTCCTTCAGTATCATTGGCTCTTGATCATATGCTGCCTCTTGAAATGGTTAAACATTAACCATTTCCTTTTGGTAGATTCTTAGGGATTTTCTATACTGTATTTAGAAATGGTTTTAATTCCTCCTTTCTGGTTTACATGTTTTTTATTTTATTTCTTTTTTTTTGACTAATTACACTGTCTAAAACTTCCATACAATATTGAATAACAGTGATGAAAGCAGGCATCCTTGTTTCTGATCTTAGGGGGAAAGCTTTCAGTCTTTCAGCATTAAGTAAAATATTAGTGGTGTATGTTTTATAAATGCCCTTTGTTATGTTGAAGAATTTCTCTTCTATTCCTACTTTGTTGGGGTTTTTGTTTTGTTTATTTTTTTTTAACATGAATGGGTATTAGATTTCATCAAATGACTTTTTGCATTAACTGAAATGCTCATGTGGTTCTTTTCTTTTATTCTATTAATGTGATATTGTTGATTTTCTCATGTGGAACTACCCTTACATTCCTGAGTTAAATCCCACTTGGTCATGATATATATATAATTCTTTCATTATGTTGGAATTGGATTGTTAGTGTTTTGTTGGAGATTTTTATGCCTAATTACACAAGGGCTATTGATCTGTAGTATTTTGTTTTGTTTCCCTTGTGTTGTTTTATCTGGCTTTGGTATCATGAATACTAAATGAGTTAGGAAGGGCTCACCTTCCCCTTTCTATTTTTATGCAAGAGTTTGAGAATTAGTGCTAATTCTTCTTTAGATGTTTGGTGAAATTTACCAGTGAAGCCATTTGATCATGGACTTTTGTTTTGTGGTGGTTTTTAATTACTGATTCAATCTCTTCACCTGTTATAGGTCTATTGAGATATTCTATTTCTTCTTGAGCTATTTTTGGTAATTTGTTTCTAGGAATTTGTCAATTTCATCTAGGTTATTTAGTCATTACATTATAAAACATTAATAATATTTATAGGCTACCTTTCAAGCTTTCTGCTGTTTAAATTGACCTTTCTCCACTTGTTGTTAAGGGCTGATGAGTTGGTTTTGACTCATAGTGAACCTATAAAGGGCTTCCGAGAATTGGCTGGTGGGTTTGAACTGCCAAAGTTGAGGTTAGCAGTCCAGTGTTTATCCTACAGTCAAACTTCCACACTTAGTCCTGATTAAAAAGGTTTAATATTATGTGATTGTAATACATGAAAGTAGCATGTTGGCATTATCCTAATTATTTTTATTAAATTTTGTTTATTAGGATTGTATATTCATCAAACAGAAACATAAAGAACTACAAAGAGGAAATTCTAATGAAAAAGATACTAGACAGTGAGTTACCACCAAAGAAACCTGACCTAAGTCTAAAAAAGTGTATGGACAATGATGGAAGATCATCTATAGAATTCTTAGGTAAAAAAATTACTTGATTGTTCTCTTCAAAAGAATGAAATTTCAGAGAGTATCAGCATTAGTGAGAATTGTTTAATTTCTACTGGTGAGGTAGTTTAATGTATTTTTGTAAAATGTTATAGCCATGAAAGTAATTATGTACTGATACTATGTGAGAAAACAAATATCATAAATCTGCTCTGCTGTTTATTTTATATAAGCATGGGTAATGAAAATGTAGTATGATCAACATCCAGTTTTCCCAAGTAAATGGAGATGGTGTTATTATGGATAAATCCACAAGGGATTCATACTTTTTTTTGTAACTATTCAAGCCTCCATATGTTATTATCCTTATTCTAACCTATACCAGTAAACATGCTCTAACAGGCCTATAGAGTCAATTCTGTTACAATGTAATATATGCATTCCTAAAATTTAAAAAAATCATCATGCAGCACAAAATCATCAATACATGAAAACTCTGTAATAATGTATTTTAAAAACAATAGCAATAGTAGAATAGTTTTACATATAGTAAATGGCTAAATACATAAATACAAGAATAAATATGGCCCGTTGCCTAGAAAAAGCCTTGCCATTTGATCATGAAAGTAAGCATTGGAAGGACTGTAGTTTGTGAGTTGTTGGAAGGAAAGTCTTAAGTTCATAGATACAGCTAGATAAATAATGTTGTTGTTAGTGCTGTCGAGTCAATTCTGACCCATAGTGACCCGGAGCAGCTGGTGAGCTTGAACAGCTGACATTGCAGTTCAAACGGCTTTGCAGTCTGGCGCATTAACCCACAGCTCCACACCAGGACTCCAGATAAATAATAGTGAGCTATATATATTCTTGATTGCATCTTGAAGCTCTAGACTACAAACCACAAGGTCGGCAGGTCAGACCCCCCATTTGCTCTTTGGAAACCCAATACAGGGTTGCTTGAGTCAGAACCAACTCAGTGGCACTTAACAACAACATATATATTCTTGATTGCAGTCAAGATGCATTGATAATTACTGGTGATTAAAAGGCGAAGGTTGGAAACAAAGAGGAAGGATAAGTGGTTGAAAAATATGGCCTTGATGATAGAAATGATGCTAGAGACTGCATGATAGAATTTTGTAAGACCAGTGACTTATTCATTGCACATACCTTTTTTCAACAACATAAAAGGCAACCATAAACATGGGCCTCACCAGATGGGAGTACACAGGATTCAAATTGACTACATCTGTGGGAAGAGACAATGGAGAAGTTCAGTATCATCAATCAAAACAAGACCAAGGGCAGACTGTGGAATAGACCATAAATTGCTCATGTGCAAATCCAGGCTGACGCTGAAGAAAATGAAAACAAGACCATGAGAGCCAAAATTGACCTTGAACCCAAGTGAATTTAGAGACCATTTCAAGGACAGATTTGATGCATTGGACACTAATGACCAAAGGCCAGAAGAGCTGACAACAAGATGACAACAAGAACATCATACAAGAAGAAAGCAAAAGGCTTTTAAAAAACAGGAAAGAAAAGATCAAAATGGATGTCAGAAGAGACTCTGAAACTTGCTCTCTAGAATAGAGAAGTTAAAGTGAATGGAAGAAATTAGTTAAGTAAAAGAACTGAACAGAAAGTTTAAAAGGGCAGCTCAAGAAGACAAAGTCAAGTATTATAATGAAATATGCAAAGACCTGGAGTTAGAAAACCAAAAGAAAAGAATATGCTCATCATTTCTCAAGCTGAAAGAACTGAAGAAAAAAAATTCAGTAATTACAATAATGAAGAATTCATGGTGTGGTGCTGTAGGACCACAAGATCAGCTCTTCAAACCCACCAGCTGCTCCTCAGAAACCCTATACAGGGTCACTATTAGTCAGAACTAACTTGACAGCACTTAACAACAACAACAACATGGGCAAAATATTAAACAATGCAGAAAGCATCAAAAGATGATGGAAGAGTCACTGTACAAAAAAAAAAAAAAAAGTCAATGTTCAATCACTTCAAGAGGTAGCATACGATCAAGAACCAGTGGTACTGAAGAAACAAGTCCAAGTTGCACTGAATGCATCGGTGAAAAATAAGCCTGTAGGAAATGACGGAATACAAATTGAAATCTTTCAACAAACTGATGCAGCACTGGAAGTGCACAGTCATCTAGGCCAAGAAATTTGGAAGACGGTTACCTTGCCAACTATTTGGAAGAGATCCATATTTGTGTCCATTCCAAAAAGAGGTGACACAAGGGAATATGGAAATCATTGAACAATATTATTAATATCTCATGCAAGTAAAATTTTGATGAAGATAATTACAAGACTAATACAATAGTACATCAACAGGGAATTGCTAGAAATTCACACTAGATTCAGCAGAGAAGGTGGAACTAGAGATATCATTGCTGATGTCAGATGGACCTTGGCTGAAAATATAGAATACCAGAAATATGCTTTGTTGTTGTTGTTGTTGTTAAGTGCCATTAAATTGATTCCAACCTATAGCAACCCTGTGTAGGTTTTCCAAGGAGCAGCTGGTGAGCTTGAACCACTGACCTTGTAGTTCAAACGACTTTGCAGTCTGACGCATTAGCCCACAGCGCCATGCAAAGACTTTCGATTGTGTGGGACATAACATTGGATAACATTGTGAAGCACAGGTATTCCAGCACACTTACTTGTGCTCACAAGGAACCTGTACATAGACCAAGAGGCAATCATTAGAACAGAGCAATGGATGATTGAATGGTTTAAAATTAGGAATGGTGTGTGCCAGGGGTGCATTCTTTCACCATACGTATTCAATCAGTTTGCTTAGCAAATAATCTGAGAAGCTAGATTATATGAAGAAGGTGGCATCAAGATTGGAGGAAGACTCATTAACAACCTGTGTTAGGCAAATGATACAGCCTTGCTTGCTGAAAGTGAAGAGGACCTAAATACTTACTAATTAAGATCAAAGACCACAGCCTCCAGTACGTATTACACTTCAATATAAAGAAAATAAAAATCCTCACAACTGGGCTAATAAATAGCATCATGATAAATGGAGAAAAAATTGAAGTTGTCAAGGGCTTCATTTTGCTTGAATCCACAATCAATTTTCATGGAAGCAGCAGTCAAGAAATCATACGATGTATTGCATTAGGCAAATTGCTGCCCAAGATCTCTTTAAAATGTTCAAGAACAAAGATATCTGTTAGAGGAATAAAATGGGTCTGCCCCAAGCCATGGTATTTTCAATAGCCTCATCTGCACATGAAAGTTGGACAGTGAAAAAAAGGAAATTGTAGAATTGATGCATATGAGTTATGGTATTGGAGGAGAATATTAAAAGTACCATGAACTGCCAGAAGAGCAAACACATCTGTGTTGGAAAAGAAATGGAGTCAGAATGTTCCAGGATGATAAGACTTTGTCATAAATCGGACATGTTCTTAAGATGGACCAGTCCCTGGAGAATGACATCATGTTTGGCAAAGTGGAGAGTCAGAGAAAAAAGAAAGAGCCCCAACGAGATGGATTGATGCACTGGCAGCAGCAGTGGGCTCAAACATAACAATTGTCAGAATGATGCAGGACCAGGAGGTTTTTTATTCTGTTATACATAGAACACTGTGAGTCAGGACCCACTTTAACAGCATCTAGCAACAACAACATATATATTCTGATAAATAACACATATGGATCAGAAAACATGCCATCTTAGCACCAGTTTGTTAATCCTCATCTCCATGAGGAGATGCAGTGAGGGCCTAATGTTACCGTGCATGTGCAGTCAGATTATACTGTAGGAGAGGAACCCTGAAATTTGAGGACTCCAAGTCCTGGTGTGGTAGTTCAAGCTTTAAATCCTGGAGCTGTGGTAGCATAGTGATTATGAATCGGGCTGCGAACCGCAAGGTCAGCAGTTCAAAACTACCAGCTGTTTCACAGGAGAAAGATGAGGCTTTCTGCCCTTGAAAAGATTTACAGCCTTGGAAACGCTGTACAGGGTCACTATGAGTCGGAACCGACTCCACGGCACATAACAACAAGTCCTGGTGTGGCATTGTGGGTTAATGTGCCAGACTTACAAAGCCCTTTGAACTGCAAGGTCAGTGGTTCAAGCTCACCAGCTGCTCCTCGGAAACCCTATACAGGGCTTCTTTGGGTCAGACCCACCTCAATGGCACTTAACAACAAGAAGCTTTTTTAGTCTGCTTACACATCTGTTCATCATCCCCTCCAGAGAGAGACCTTTGCTTTAAAGGTAAAGAAATCTCTGGGAGGGGAGGGAAACATCTCTAGATTTCCCACCTTGTAATAATGTAAGGAGCTCTGGTAGCATGGTGGTTACGAATCCTGCTGCTAATCTCATGGTCAGCAGTTTGAAACTACCAGCTGTTCTGCGGGAGAAAGATGATGCTTTCTGCCCCCATAAAGAGTTACAGCCTCAAAAACCCTGTACAGGGTCGCTGTAAGTCAGAACCGACTCCATGGCACATAACAACAATAACAACAATGTAAGGAAATGGCTTCAGGGGAGGTATCTAAATCTTTCTGGTTGTGTTTATGTTAGGTGCCACAGAGTCGGTTCTGATACATAGCAGCCCTATGCACAACAGAATGAAACTCTGCCCAGTCCTAGCTATCCTCACAGTAGTTAGGTTAGAGCCCATTGTTCTGCCACTGTGTCAACCCATCTTGTTGGGGGTTGTCATGGACTGAATAATGGTCTCCCAAAATGTGTGTCAGCCTGGCTTGACATGATTCTCAGTGGTTTGGCAGTTAATGTGATGATCCCCATGATGTGATCTGATGTGATAATCCAGTAAGAGGATTAATGGTGGGATATGCTAACCTTCCATTACCCATCTGTCAGTTTGTCATACTGTGGTGGCTTTCATGTGGTGCTGGAAGCTATGCCACCAGTATTTTAAATACTAGCAGGGTTACCAATGATAGACCCAAGTTTCAGCAGAGCTTCCAGGCTAAGACAAACTAGGAAGAAGGATAGGTGGGCTACTTCTGAAAGGTTAACCATTGAAAACCTTAGGAATAGCAGGGGAACACTGTCAGCACCAGAATATTGAATACTGAGATATGATGAAGAACACCAGAATATTGGCAGATAACAGTGCCTGAAGATGAGCCCCTCAAGTTGGAAGGCACCCAAAATACGACTGGGAAAGAGCTGCCTCCTCAAAGTAGAGTTGACTGTGATGATGTGAATGGAGTAAAGATTTCGGAACCTTCATTTGCTGATAAGACACAACTCAAAATCAGGAGAAACAGCTATAGACATCAATTAATAATCACATGGAATGTACGAAGTATGAATCTAGGAAAATTGGAAGTTGTCAAAAATAAAATGGAAAATTGATATTCGAGGCATTTGTGAGCTGAAATGGACTACATTGATCATTTTGAACCTGAAAATCATATGGTTTAACGTTCTGGAAATGACAAATTGAAAAGGAATGGTGACATTTGTCATAAAAAATAAAAAGATTTCAAGTTCTATCTTGAAGCATAATGCTGTCTGTGATAGGATATCCATACATATATAAGGAAGATTTGCACACTAATCTCTAAAGCCAGTGTTGATGAAATTGAAGAATTATACAAATTTCTTCAATCTGAAATTGATCAACTGTGCACTCAAGATGTATTAATAATTATTGGTGATTGTAATGTGAAGGCCAGAAACAAAGAGGAAGAATCAGTAGTTGGAAAATACGGCCTTCTTGACAGAAATGATGCTGGAGGACACATGATACAATTTTGCAAGACCAATGACTTCTTCATTACCAAAATCTTTTTCAACAACATAAAAGATGACTATACACATGGGCCTTTCCAAATGGAATACACAGAAATCAAATTGACTACATCTGTGGAAAGAGACTGTAGGAAGTCTCAGTATCATCATCCTAAACAAGGCCAGGGGCAGATTGTTGAACAGACTATCGATTACTCATATGCAAGTTCAGTCTGAAGTGGAAGAAAATTAAAAGTTCACAAGAGCCAAAAAATGACCTTGAATATATCCCCCTGAATTTAGAAACCAACTCAAGAACAGATTTTATATATAAGAAACTAATAACTGAAGATCAGAAGAGTTGTGGGATGACATCAAGAACATTATATAGGAAGATCATAAAAGGCCGTTAAGAAGACAAGAATGAAGGAAAAGGCCATAATAGATATCAGAAGAGACTCTGAAACGTGCTTTCCAGTGTAGAAGGCAGAAATGCTAAAGCAAAAAGAAGAAAGGAGGGGTAAAAGAGCGTAACAGAAAAATTTAAAGGACAGCTCAAGAAGACAAAGTACAGTATTATAATGAAGTGTGCAAAGCCCGAGAGTGGGAACACCAAAAGAGCAGAAGATACTCAGCATTTCCCAAGCTGAAAGAACTGAACAAAAATTCAAGTCTTGATATAACAACAGCAATGTTAATCTTGATTCTACTATGAGATTGATCTGTTATATGGAAGATTTACAAGGGTGTGGCATACAGTACCTTTTATCTTACAAAAGGTAAAAGGAGAGAGACTTCAACAGAGAAAGAGAGTTCTGTACTTCCTTCCTTCCTTTTCATATATACATGCCTGATAATGTCATTTCCCACTGCCAGTGGTAAATTTTTTTTAACCAGAGATATTTTTCAAAACACTTATTTTCAATATCTCTCTACAGTGTATCAATACTAAACTCATAGTAAGTGCTCTGCATATGCATTGATTTCAACTGATTTCACTTTCAATGAATGCACAAATTGTGTTAGCCACATACCCATGAAGTAAGGAATGGGAAAGAATTAAGTACTGAAAAATAATAGCAAAATTGGAGAATTTTTCTAATTTTTAAAGTAAGATGTTCAATTAGATGTATAACTTTGTGATATTATTACATATATTTAAATGTGTATTTGTATCTAAAGATATATCTTTGTTTAAATGTAAGTAATTATATTTAAAAACAATTTTTAGATAATTTACAATTTTGTTTTATTTGAACTTACTACTTAAATATTTCAACATGGCTACTCATTCCTAGAATAGTTTATTGAAATAATTGTGTGGAAAACCTTTTGTAAATATTAGAATACAAAAAAATTGAATACCTGTGATATTAAGGAAATAATTTTTAGTCATTTCTTTCCTTTTAAAGATAATTCTGATGTGGAACCTGCATCTGAGTTAGGAGAAGATATACTGAAACTTTATGTGAACCACTGTTGCCCAGATATTGATATTTATGTTGATGGGAAAAGATTTAAAGCTCACAGGTAAACAGAAATGTGATTGATTTCCTGTCTTGATTATAACCGTGGACTATAGTGGAGTGGTTGTCTCTCTAGGACAGTGGTTTCAAGCTCTTGATTCACACAGACCACAGGGGTTCCTCATTGTTGCCTCAGGGGGTCTCTGACATGGGAAGGGGTTAGCTATTTGGCATGATTTTCTGCCTGCAAGCTCACACATGCACCCAGGCACCCACATAGATGTGCGTCAGCCAGAGAAGATCCTTTATCATCTCTGTTTTACATTAAGCATAAACCTAAGCCTTCATTTGAAAAAAAATGTTCTGTTGCCTAAAATAGGTTTGAAAACCACTGTGACAGAAAATTTAGCTAAATGCAGTTTTTAATTTTACAGGCATTGTAGTATTGAGAATGACTGTTTCTCCATGAATGACATATAATTTCTCTGAATGCATTTTGGCTCAAATTCTGTGATTCAAAATAGATGGTACTCATGAATAGCATTGATTAGGAGTTTTAATATTTCAGTGCACTTAAAAAAACAACAACCCATTATTTGGCTTTTGAATTGGGTTGCTTAAACATTCCAGATTTTAAATTGAAGCCTGTTCCCTGTTTTGGTTAGGCTTTTTTTTTTTTTTTTAATTTCAAGTCACAAAAATCTGCTTAAAAGAAGGAAAAAATTAACAAGAAGTACAGGTTATTTATCTGTTGGAACTTAAGAGAAAGAAGTACAGCTGGACTTCACAATGCACAAGAATCAGAACCAAAAAATTGAAGAATCTGAATTGTTATCCTTCCTCCTTTTCTTTGAATTTCAAATAGGATATTGATTTAAGAAGTTGTTCTGTTATATACAACCTACCACCAGGATTGGTTCCTTGGTTTGGAGGTTTAAGTTTATGATTTTATGGAACATCCCTGTTAATTGGCCTACTAATGTGTTTACTGCTTCTGGTCTACTTCCCAGTTCCTTGCATCTTGCCTGGGTTCAGAAACTTGCAAGTGGCCATCTAAAGCACAACAATTGGTCTCTATTCACTTGGAGCAACACAGGAAGAAGAGAGTCAGAAATAGAAGGGGTAGCTAATTGCCTCCATGAAAAATTGCCTCCTTTGCTATGAGACCAGAACTGAAAGCATTGGACCATAAAGTTGGTTTGAACCACAAGGTCAGCGGTTCAAATTCATCAGTCGCTCTTTGAAAACCCTATACAGGGTCACTATGAGTTGGAATCGACTCAATGGCACTTAACAACAACAGTTACTGAATATTTAAAAAAGATAATTATTATGAATTGAGTGAAGGTGTACAGAACATGTCATTAGCCCCACATTCAAAAAATCATACTTTCATATCATCATAATGCTTGCAATCCCATCCCCATTAATAGTATTCACCTCTCTTCACTTTAGCTCTTAAACTCCTCTCTGTGTCTTGCACTGCCTTCATCTTTCCTCTGCCAACCTCCTTCTTGCTGTATATAGTCTTCCCCATCACCCAAATTGACATGCGTCCACCTTTACCTCGTAAATACTTTTCCTTTCCCTCCCACCCCTGGTAACCATCATAGAATGTTTCTTTTAGCAAGAAAACCTTTTCTTAACTTTTGACAACAGTGGTCTCATGCAATATTTACCCTTTTTGTGATTGACTAATTTCAATCAGTAAAATGCTCTCCAGATTCAATCATGTTGTGAGTTGTTTCACAGATTTGTCGTTATCCTTCAGTGTTATGTAGTATTATGTTATGTGTATGTACCAAAGTTTGTTTAACCATTCTTCTGTTGATGGATATTTAGACTGTCTCCAATTTTTTCTACTGTGAATAATACTGCATATATTAACATTTGTGTCATGGCTCTCATTTCTTGAGAATTGCTTGTAACAGTCCCAAGTAGAGGGATTGCTGGGTCATATGGTATTTTCAGATAGACTACATCTGTGGAAAGAGAAGATGGAAAAGCTCCATATCATCAGTGAAGACAAGGCCAGGGGCAGACTGTGGAACA